TAGCCAAAGTTATCTTCTCTTTCAAACACTCTGATGGAATACTGAGCTATAAGATGGCAGCTTAGAGGCCTGTCCTGCTTTCCTGAAGCCCTTTAGGTCGGACTTCACATCCTGGCCTACCTCCTGCTTTGTAGTAGTAGCTTGTAGTTTCTCTACCCTTGTAGTTCTAGCTTCTACTATCTTACTTCCAGGAGGCACCAAACTCTGCTGTTTGTGAGAGACAGGACTCTCACAACATGTGCTATCTTTGTCACTATTAAAAGCTTAAAATTAAAAAAATTGAAGTAATTTCTAAAATATACTTCTTGGCTGTACCACATATAGATCTGGGGCTAGAGGATTCACCTCTTCCTTCTCTCTCTTGGGAGACAGACCAATCTCCCAAGAGATAACTATAGACTTTACTGGGAAATGATTTAAAGGCCCTCTTCATATATTCATCAGTATACCAAATTTAACACTGAGTTACAGAGCTGTCATTATACAGAATATAGTTCCTAGTAAATTCGTTTAAAATATAATCTAGAGGAAAATTCCATGGTCTGGTTAAACCACAAGGTGGTGCTCATCTGCTTCAAAATATGAAAAAACACTCTGGAAGGGATTGGATTCAAATGATCAGTGATTAATGTACAATATTGTTCTGAATAAATAAAAATGTGTCTTCATATCCACTCTGTGTGATAGATAAAGGCTGGAATTGCGTACAATCCTCCAGCATGTACTGAGAAATAACAAGAAACCATGCCACCTAACCTAGCACAACAGACAAAACAAGAATTAAATCAAATGCCTTTCCTGGCTGGTCTTGTGTTACCTATTTCTACGGAGATGGCAGTTTCTGAAGCAGAAGTCCCTTTGCATATTCACCGACACTCCCAACTTCTTGGAGTTTTCAAAACTTTAATCAAATGCTGTCAGGAATGATGTTGGTGTGACGCTCAACCCAATCTTGTTCACAGCCCTTTCAAGCTATGCTCTTAATTTTAAAAGGGCCAAACTTTTTTTGCAGCACAGAGAGGGCCATTATTGCACATATAATTAAAAATAACCTTAAACACCAAAAATCAGAAACAAAGATGGGGGAAAGAGAAGCTTGTTTTCTCTTCTGATGACATTGCTTATGACTTCTAAACCAGGGCAAGGGAAACTGACCATTTGCCACTTGGTTTAGAGCAGAGGTTTTCAAAGTTGGCAATTTTTAAGATGGGTGGACCTAAACTCAGAATTCTGAGAGTGGAAGTCTACAAAACTTAAAAGTTACCGAGTTTGAAAAATATTTACAGTTTGAGAAACAGATTTCAGTAGATATAAGTGCCAAACAAACAAACAAACATAAGTTAGTATGATTTGAGAACTAGGTAAATCAATAATTCGGAAAAGCAAAAGTGTTTTGCAAATCCAGACATATTATGTTGTGCATAAGTTTTTTATATTACCTTTCGGTATGCTGTAACACATTAAAAAAAGTTATTAATTAAAACAAGAGGACTACATCTTCCCACGAGCCAAAAGTCGGCTGACATCTCAAGGCTCCATGACGCAGCAATTTCAACTCCAATGAGAGCGTGAGCGACTCTTTCTTTTCTAAGTCTAAGAGTGCTAACAGTGAAGTACTATAGAAAACGTGCCGCTGATGACGTCACCGCACGGAAGTACTGGGATGTTGTGAAAGAGTGACCGAGAAGTATGTGGACGGGGTGGTTTTGTGAGTTTCTGGCCCGGCCGCCGCTTGCAAAAACTTCTGACAGGGCAAATAGAGAACAGATGTAGGTTGCAAAACTTCTAGATGACGTCCCTAGAGCAGAGGGAGAAAAAGTGGGTCTAAAACCATCAGCATCTTTTCTCAGGTGGTTCCCTCCAGCACACCACATGGCTGGGGAAGACTAGGGTAGAACGTTACATATAATGCTCTCACTCATGGCCTTCATGCCTCTTGCATAGTGTTGTTTGTGTATGTACTTGCACCTGCAGACAATCAAAGGCAGCTTTCTAGAGTGGGGGTTCCCAACCTTAGCAATTTTAAGACTTGTGGACTTCAACTCCCAGAATTCCCCAGTCAGCCATGCTGACTGGGGAATTCTGGGAGTTGAAGTCCACAGGTCTTAAAGTAGCCAAGGTTGGGGACCCCTGTTCTAGAGGATGCAACCACTTTAATGCTTAAGACCTAACATGCTTTGCCAAGTGCCCCTTTCAGTTGCTTTGCAAAAGCCTGTTTACTAATTTCAGACCAATTGCATCCTGGGCTCTAAATTTCCTTCCATCAAGTATGACTCAATAGAGATGTTTCTCAGCACTTTCTGCCTGTGATCATATTAGCCAAATATACCTGTAATTGAACTTGCAGGCTTTTGCAAGTCTAGCTTATGGCTGCTATGGTTAAACTTAGCTGTAGTTCCTCTACAACATGTGCATCCCATATTCTTTCAGTCTGAGGCCAGAAAGAAATTAGACTTTTAGGATGTCTACTAGCTTTCCACCTGGAGGGAGAGAGAGAGAGAGAGAGAGACCATATTAATATGACAGTAAGATGAAAATACTGGCTAAAGGATGGAGATGTGCTTCCTCCTCTTAATTATATAAATCTTTTTATTTTAGTATTAGGCTTCAATGTTGTCCAAAACTGGAATTATGAATTTAAAGAAACTGGAAAGGATTTACATTAAAATCCTAAAAGTCCCAAATGGTATCTAGGAGACACACTGCTGGAGAGGTAAGATGGGAATATAGTTGACTTTTGGCATAACGTGTCCAGAATGCTTTTAATTAAATATTCTTTCCACTAAATTCAGTAGAGCTAATACCCAAGCAAATGTAGAAAGTATTAATGAACTTTTTGAACTTTTAATGTTTATAGCAAGAAAAAAATGCATATTCTCTGGTTTTTCACATGTTTTGGTAAGATGCAAAGTAAGGATAATTTTGATGTCATAAATAAGAGGAAATGTATTGGCTATCCAACTCCAGAATGATATTTGGTAAAGTAGGAGCCGCAGAAATATGGGGAATAGTCTCATATTACTCCACATGTTTTTTGATTTGGATTATAATGGAAATTGCTATAACATCTGAGGATGAGTGAATAAGCTTGTATGTGAGAACTAAGTTGTAGTAATATGATAATTGGATGTAAACTATCCATAAGTACATGAGTACCTGGTGAAGCAACAAGCTGTTACATTATCTTATTTAATTTTGATTTTCAAGATACACATGAATCAAATGACATTTCAAAAGGACTTAGAAGCTGAACAAAGCAACATCTTTTTTTCTTCCAGACCCAGTATTGTAGATAGTGCTAAAATCACTTAAAAACAATAGAAATGTAGCTGTGTTGTACTTTACTGAGATAAAAGGACCCCGTGTCACTGCAAACATCCCCACCTTTCTTAAGGAACATATATTCCATTCCTCTCCTTTTCCACATCTGATGGAAATCAAGAGTTAATATAGGTAGTCCTCGACGTATGACCACAATTGAGCCCAACATGTATGTTGTTAAATGAGACATTTGTTAAGCGAGTTTCCCCCCGTTTTACAACCTTCCTTGCCACAGTTGTTAAGTGAATCACTGCAGTTGTTAAGTTAGTAACATCGTTGTTAAGTGAATCTGGCTTCTCCATTGACTTTGCTCGTCAGGAAGTCACAAAAGTTGATCCCAGGACCTCCCAGGACACTGCAACCGTCATAAATATGAACCATTTGCCAAGCATCTGAATTTTGATTACATGACCATGGGGATGCTGCAATGGTCGTAAATCACTTGTTTCAGTGTCTTAAGTTTGAACAGTCACTAAACAAACTGTTGTAAGTCAAGGACTACCAGTACAGTACAATTTAAGTAAACTCTGCTGACTTTTCTTTTGCTATTTTATGTCTGTTGAGAGAGCTGGCATTGCAGGAAGGGACAGACATTATAAAGCTCCTAATCTGCAGATGCTCTTTGTCTGGAGCAAGATGTTTCTTGAAATAATCAGACCTAGTGATTTCCACTATAAAGGTAAACCAAGTAAATATTATTTCTTCATACATCAGCATGCCCATAAAACTGTTGTTTTCCATATATTGCATGAATTGATGCTTCCCTGGATTCACACAGTATGCTTCTCCTGTAAACTTTCTTTTATAATACTATTAATAAACATTCGTGAAATTTACATGCCACCTGATTCCCAGTGATTGGGTGATTTTATCTTGTTTCCAAACTGGAGAAGAACAAAATCTTATTTTTTTTTTATTGAGTACTGTTAGCCTGTGGTAAGGTGGGCAGCCAATAAATTTAATAAATAATAAATAAATACCGTAATAATTGGCAAGTGGCATAACTGCCATGTCTGGATTACAAAACTTTGGATTACTAGAAGATAGCAAAAAGAAACATACAAATATAACTTGTTACTATCATCTTGTGATCACCTGGATTTTTATAGTCCACATCTAGTAACCCTGATAGCTGTATCTTAGGGTGTTTTGCCATGATTCTCAGTGTTCTGGCTAGGAAGATATGCTTGGTTGGAAATATGCTCTATGTAGTTTAATTATTCTTTAGCATTCATACTGTGGTTGTTCTAAATAGAACTTTGTGCATTTGGGGTTTCTGACAATTACGTCAAATAAGCTTAAACCTGATTTAATTTCTACAGAGCTGCGGCTTTCATTTTTGTAAAAGCAAGCTTCTAGTCCTTTTGAATGCAAAAAAGAAATAGGTGTAACAGTAATGCCGCATAAACCAACATTAGATTGAAATGAATTTTCAGTGGAACCGCTGAGAGAGATGCTTCTCTGCGCGTTCAAGTTGCCTTAGCTACTTAGGATAGCCACAGTCCCACTTTGGAACAATAGCCATTTGCTTTCCTTCATTCACACTTCTTTTGAATCTCCTGTGGTCCAAAGCAAATATCAGAACTGGTTCTGATGTCTGGCCAAGAAGCCAGGCCTCTATACTGACTGAGAATGACTGCTGTGTGGTGACAAATTAATCACGTTGCTGAGTTTGGGACAGATGGCAAATGTAGGGCAAATCCAACCCTAAGATCAGAGTAATCTCTGAGTCGGTGGCAGTTACCACTATGTCCTTGGTGGTTAAATTAGGTTTGCCATGCTGGAGGTAGGAGGAAATTGCTGCCTGGCTGAAACATGTCCTGATATGGTGAAAATGCCACTGTTGTTTTGAGCCCCCTGGTTCTGACGGGTAGCCTTACGGCAGGAAGTCCATGTCAAATAGAACAACAGGCTGAGGAGGATAATTGCTCCAGCGACTGTGAGCACAATGCCACTGATAAACATGCTGGCAAGGGGGCGCGGGGCTGGGGGGTTAATGCTGACACTGGTGGTAGAGAGGGCTATGAGCACTGTGCCACACACCAGCAGCACCAAGGCTGTCAGCAGGAGCACAGCGCAGTCTGAGGCACCCCCGCTTTTCAGCAACTCCACCTGTTCCCGTCTGCGAATGCAGTTCATGTCCTGGATGGCAGAGCTCAACAGCTGCTTCAGTAGTACCAAGAGTGCCAGCAGACAGAGTGTTGTGCCCACTGCCAGCCTCCACTCTCCAGAGCGACTGCTAGTACTGTACAGAAGGGCAATGCCACCTACCCCACAGGCTAGGATCAAGGCCACTGCTACTCCATAGCAAATAAGGGACTTCTTGGGCTCCTGGAACCACCATAGTTCCACGTGCTCTTCCAAGATGTTCCTCTGGATCCGGCTGGCATGCGCTGGGAGCCTGGGTTCATTCAGGTGCTCCATTTCCGCCATAGTGGATGCTGAGCCGGCTCATACACAGCAAGGATGGGCCACAAGAATTGCTGCTTTTAACTGGCCCGGAAGATTGGCAGCAAGGAAGAGGGTGGGTACTTGACACATTTTCCCAGGGATAGAGGCAATGAACTTTTATTCAGTTCCTATCCAAATCATATTTTTTTTTCCTTCTTGGATGGAAATGGTTGAGAGGGAACAGCAGAAATGGAAAACTCTTCTGGCTCAGGCTGAGGCTGAAACCTGCTTCAGTGTTTTGCAGCTCCTTTCTAAGCACGCCCTGATCCTGCCAGTTATCTGTAAAGGAAGCAGTGATAAAATATGAAAAGAGAGCTTTCTTTCCCAAAGGTGAAAAGAAAGAGTGAGGAGGACCACTCCCCATGGGGTCAAGTAGGGTTCATGCAAGTCAAATCAATTTTTTATGGGCTAGGCCATATTCTATGCCTTGTCCGGGCGAGTTGAATCACAAGATTTCCTTGTGGCAAAATGTTTGTGCCAGGAAAAGCAAGATTCTCTCTTAATAAATAACTTATAACTGAAACTTGCCCCTATGAAACATTTGGATGTATGTTCTCATTTACAGTTTCAGTAATTTATAACAAAATGTAAGCCTGCAAGAAATGCTTCTCTTATTTCTGTCTCGGGTTGTAATGCTATTTTAGTAACACCTTCACTTCTACTAATTTGACAGTCATCTTAAAAATACTTATGATCTCTACTTTAAGAAAAGATGGGTTTGATATTCTCAGGATACCGAACTTGGCTCTTTGTACTAGCTTTCGTCTTGATGGGAGGCAAAGAGGAATTATGTTTGCTGCATGCATGTCTCATAACGTCAGGATGATAGATGTTGAAAGAGAAAAAAAAACAGTTTTCCAGTGAGAAAAGGCAAAAATAGGTTCTATATTGAAATCCAGTTTACGTCATGTTGGGGTTAGCTTTGCATATTAAGTATATACACTAGCCCAGGGGTAGGTAATTTTGGCTCTTTTATCCAGTCATGGCTCAGGAATTCTGGGAGTTGAAGTCCATGAGTCATAAAAGAGCCAAGGTTGCCTACCCCTGCACTAGCCCAAGGGTGTCAAACTGGCGACTCATGGGCTGGATGCATCACATACCCTGGTTCCGCAAAGGCAAAAAAAAAGTCACGATACATCATGATTTGTCACGTGATGCAATCGATTTTGACACCCGTGTAATAGCCTGTTCTTTCACAGAGACATATTTCACAAAATAATTAAAGTAATTATTATTCTGATCCTAGAGTTCATTCTGATGTCTCTCTAATTACAGTATAAAGATAGTTCTTTAATGATTTTTAAAGGATACCTTCTCGTGTCATCACTTCTGTCTTTTCTCCAGCCCACTGCAAAGGCACCCTGAAGACATCTTTTCTACTGTCAAGGTGGTATTTTTCCATCTTTTTTCAACACATTTTGCCATACAATGTAAAATGCCTTGGCGACAAAGCTGGCAATAACATCAACGGGGTTGGGGAACTGATTTCTAAGTCTGCTGTGGAAATGGCATTTCTCTGCCTGGCTCATGGCTTGGGCTATGAGACTAGTTGCTTGGCACTGTCTTTTTTGTTCCTTTGTGGAAATATTAATCTTCTGGAAGACAGATATGTTAGCATTATTATAAATCTTGTTATTGGTCTCCTATTCAGCTGATGCCTTCCCATGTTGATAGGTGACACTGGGTGGGAGGAGAAAGGAAACTGGACAACTCACTGTCCTGCATTAACTCTGCAAAAAAAGCAGAACTGTTCCCTGGCTTCAGGCTCAGCTGAGTAGAATCTGATTACTTTTTTAAAAATAAAAATTAATATATGGTTCTTCCCTGCAGCCATCCATCCGTGGTTTTCCCAGCCATTCAGGTCATCACAGGTCTTCTAGATGAGAGCATTTTGGGGCAGAATTAGCGGAGAGGAAAGAGTTTGTAATCAGTATTCCCATGATGGAAATGCCCAATATGCAGTGGGTTTATTGGGTCAGTGGAGTGTGTGTGTGTCGATTTCTGCTTTACTTTAACTTCTAATTTGTATGCTCAAGAAGCTGCAGAGAAGGTCAACTAAGATGATTAAGGGCCTGGAAACTAAAACATATGAAGAACGGTTGCAAGAATTGGATTTGGCTAGTCTAAGAAGGACTTGGGGGGGGGGGGATGATAGCAGCATTCCAACCTTTGAGAGATTTCCACAAAGGGGGGGGGGTTGTCAACTTATTTTCCAAAGCACCAAAAGGAAAGACAAGAAACAATGGATGGAAACTAATCAAGGAGAGAAACAACCTGGGATTAAGGAGAAACTTCCAAACAATGAGAACAATTAACCAGTGGAATGGCTTGCCTTCAGAAGTTGTAGGTGTTTCATCACTGGACATTTTAAAGAAAAGATTGGACAGCCACTTGTCTGAAATGGTATAGGGTCTCCTGCGTGAACAGGGAGTTGGACTAGAGGACTTCCAAGGTCTCTTCCAGCTCTATTCTGATTGATTGAGGGAGAGAGCACAAATTATCCTGATATATTTTTCGACTGTTTGAAGGATGGAAGGATGTGTGTGTGTGTGTGATCTGTAAATGCTAGTTTTTAACCCTATATTCTTAGAAAGTGATTCACAAAAAGTGTGACTTTCTCCTCCATTCTAATGATGCTTCTTCCCAGTCATAATCTATCTATCTATCTATCTATCTATCTATCTATCTATCTATCTATCTATCTATCTATCTATCTATCTATCTATCTATCTATCTATCTATCTATCTATCTAGACTAATTTAACAAATTAGAAGTTAAAGTAAAGCAGAAATCGACTGGGAAGAAGCATCCTTAGAATGGAGGAAAAAGGCACACATTTTTGTGAATCACTTTCTAGGAAGAATGCAGGGTTAAAGAGAAGCATTTACAGATTACAGAAAATGCTTGAATTTAATTCCTAAATTTCTTTACTGATTTTAGTGTTTTAGTAAAATTCCTAAAACATTTCACACTGCACATTAAAACAGTATAAAATTACTCCTGAATATTACAAAATTAAAACAGCAGATTGAAACACAATTGTAGTATCAAGGCCTCACAATTGTCTCAATAAAATCAGGAAGTCATGATTAAACTTTTATCTACTAACACACTTGTGAAATATCACCCTGAAAGAACAAGCAGAAGGCATGCAATGTGCTAAGAACAAAGTTCTGTTAATTGCAGAAAAAAGGATGTGGCTGTTATGTGTCCCATGAGCGCATCTCAATATCTTTTGAAAAAGGCAAAAACAGATAAGAAAGGTATAATGCAAAAGAGTATCAGAATTGCTTCTGTTGAAGCAATGGCTCACCCTTATTCTGTAATTTTATAAATCTGATGAATCTAGAGCTATAAAGGTTTAATGATTATGTGAATGAAGACAATCAACATCAAATGGAATACCTATACAACAGAAATTCAATGACCTGTATAAAAATATGCATTAGAAACCGATATATTTTGATTGATAAAGGTTGAGAATAGTTTGATAAATATAAACAGGAGAAATAGTTTGTATCATAATAGAATCAGTGGTCATCCAACAAAACTGAAATCTGACTTAAAAACAAGATGAATTTTCTTATAAAGCACATACTAAATAGAGGGTTGGGGTAAGGGAGGGAATATCTATAGCTACTTTATTTTGGTCTACTCCAGAAAAGTTGCACACATGCCTTGTAAAAAGCTTCTTCCATGCAGACCTCTCAAGGACTGGTCTAAAATGCCTATTACCTTGAACGTGCTGTTCTGGTTATGACATCTTAGTTCCAGGAGGCTGGATCAGTGATTCCTTGCCTTTCAGGAATTCCACTCATAGGTATTACAATCTTGGCCATGTCTTCAACAGGTTGGCGCTTCTTGGCGCAAGGGTGTTCAGGTCATGCAGCAATTCTTAGCTATGTTTGGGCTCTTGATACAAATCTTCATTTTAGTAGCATTTGCTTCTTGTGCTGGCAAAAGCTGATGATTGAAGCAGAGATCCCACACAATAAGAAAGCTTCTTTCACTGTTCCAGTCTCACATGGTCCCTCATCAGCATCTGCCTCTTGTCACCAACTGGTTCTCTGGGTTGTGAGACAATAGAAGCTTGCATCTAAGCTGCCTTAACCCTTGATACACACTTTTTCCTCCAGGAGCAATCAAGACCTGGGTTTATTGTTAGCTTCTTTTCGTCATCCCCTGCTTAAGGTACAAGTAACAGAATTTAATTTTTATAACTTGATAAAGTTGTTGACCAGCATTTAACTGTTTTATACCACTTTGATCTTCTGATTCCCCCCCCCTTTAGGTATCCTGGAAATTAGGCAAGAATCTAGGTGGAAAGTGGATGCTGAATATGTTACGGTATTTAGGAAGAGTAGAAAAAAAGTACTTCTCAAGGTGGTGACTCCTCACTGGGCCATTTTAAAAACTTTTCAATATTTAATTAGGAGTTTAGATTTTCTGGTTTAAGTGGCCTTTTCAAGTTCTATAATTCTTAGTCTTCCTCTGTAGAATATCAAAAGTATCAGAGACCTGAAAATGAAATTATTTTCATAAGCAAATATGATAATTATGAAATCTGGATGGCCTTAGTCTGTTGAGGCCGATTTATTTTGCTGAGCTCTGAAATCAGAAACTCGCTTTGTTTAAAAAGTTACAGTACAGTGTGAAATCTAAGTTCAGAATCTGAAGATATCCAGGAGAAGGTACAGTACTTACATCCTGAAATGTGTAGTCTGTCTTAAAACCCTTTACATCCTTTATTGAGGCTTAAAAGCAATCTATTTACAATACTGTTTTTCTTGTTTTCTTTCTTCCGGCTTCCCTTGTATTTGTTCACACATGAAACGAACATACAAGATGTAACATTGCCTAGCTCTCCTTGAAAGTAAACCTTCTGCCAGCCTGGTGTTCAAGCAATGTATTGAGCTGCAATTTCCATGTTTCTCAGTATAAAAAATGTCCCTCAATATATCTCCTTGCAGCATGTCAGGGAAAGTTGGCACTTCAAATGGACCCCAATTAGTTTAACATCTTCTTAACCAAAAAATGCAAAGAGGTCTGCAAAGAAGTAGATTCATATCTGAGAGAGAGTGTTACCTTGATTTGGCTCAGTGCTAAAATCATTGCCCTTTTTTGTATTTTGGCAGATCTTAGCTGG